AAAAAAAAAAAAATGTTCATATTTGTGACACCTAAGTTGCAATAATATAATGTCAACAATAATGCACCTACAGTAACGCAATAATTTAATATAACATTATATTTTTTCACGCTCCAAATTGACATATTCATACTTTCAAACAGAAATATTATAATCTGAAAAACAGAAAAAACTATGGCATTTCATCGTCACGCAACTCTACATATTTTTTGCGACCCGCACTATTACAAAGAAATTTGTGGCGGAGTATATATATATTGGAAAATTTTTGATTTTGGTCTATCTACTTGTATAACGTTCTTTTTCGGTACACTAATTTCCCCTTCATCTATTACAATACGTTATATTTCAACTTGTATCATTTTTGGGACATTACTCATCGAAAACAGTACGTTATATTGCAATTTGTATCATTTGTAGGACATTAATCCCAAAAAATAATGAACCATTTTCGCGATATAACGTCCCAATAGTGATACAAAAATTGCAACATATTTAACGTACTATTATTGATGAGACAAACGTTAGTGTACCAAAAAACGACTTTAGACAAGTAAACGTACCAAAAATAAATTTGTGCCTATATATATATTCATACTAGGACTTGATTAATTAATTTTTGGTACTAATTAATTTAATTTAAATTTGTAACATGTGATTGCATGAATGAACGAATGAAGGCTAATCACGCTGCTAAGGATAGCCATGGCTCATCTTCAAAGTGCATTAGGTTTGCTGAAAATGAACAGCCCAGGACTCCCCCAATACGCCGTACGTAATTTATTTCTTTTTCCCTCCATATTTAATTTATATTTTATGCACCACTCCTTATTTTTCTTACATTTTTTTTACTAACTATACACTATTAAAATATATATATAAATATAATTTTTTTTATTTTTGTCCTTTTTATTTCGATTCCTTATACATGAAAATGTACTGAAAAAGGAGCTTCTTAATCTGCATGACCTATACTGATTGTGACATTACATATTGTTTGATAGGGAAACACTACGGTCCCGTTACGGTACCATCCCGTCAAATGTTTTAACCGTTGGATTCGCATGTAATTATATAAGATAGATGATCCAACGGTTAAAACACTTG